GCGCCACACCCGGCTAGTTACAGGACATTTTGAGAGATATTCCATAGTCCCCTGGAAATTAGTCGACCTTGGAGGGCAAGGGGCAAAAACTGTCCTTTAAGTCCCTCTGACCAATTAGTATAGGCCTCAAAGTATGGCTATTAAACATCCAATAAGGTTAGCTCCACCTGTCTGGTACTTTAAATTACCATGTACTATGTAGATAAAGCTTGAGTAAAAAATCAAATGTTCTCAGATAAACCTTGACTAGATATATATTTTGTTCCTTAAACTAGTTGACTAAACTATGACCTTAGAAATTTTAAGATTATGTGTGTATTATTTTCGTTTCATCCTTTATATACCATAACAAACCTACACAGACCTTTGTCGCTTGCTTAGGCTTTCTCATTTTTTCTATTTTGGAAAATATCTCCATTCCCATATCCTTTTAACATCTTTTACATTCTCATTTTCTTTTTTAACAATTATGAGACATAATAACATTAACAAATAAAATTTCCATCCGTTGTGAGACTTCTTTTCCTGGGAATGCTAAGCAATGCTTATTCCCTTTTAAGGTTCTAGCATCAAACCAATGTTTGATTAAAGTTTTACTGGCGAACCAATGAATTTTCTGAGGTTACTTACCGAGATAACTGAGGGGTTGCTGAAGTGTATGAATGACTTGAGGGTATGCATACTGGAAAGCCTTTACCCAGCATGGGTCAAGCCTTCTCTTCCTAGCCTTCCCCAGATTGTATACTTTAGGACTTGGGGAGGGTACTAAGCACCCTCAGATTGTCATCAGTGGACCTTAAAGAGCGGGAGCACAGCAAATTCCTTCACAAAGCAGAGACTGAATCAATCCATACTCAACCAGATTGCTGCTGATGCTGTTAGATGCTAAATATACCTCATCTGGATTGAAATTTCCTTTATAAATTTCTTTTTTTTTTTTTTTTTTTGGTCTTTTTGAGACAGGGTCTCTGCTGGCCTTGAAGTCACGGAGGTCCTCCTGCCTCTGCCTCCTGAGTGCTGGGATTAAAGGTGTGCACCACCACGCCTGGCCCCACCACTGTCAACTTTTATTTCCAAAGAAAGAAATAATTATTGCTAGAGACAAAAGGCCAGGGTGAGCTATAAAGGTCTGTGAGCCCTCCTGAACCCATTGTGGAATAACAGTGGGTCACTTTTTGGAGGTTGAAATGGAAAGTTTCTTATGAATGTCCACCTAGACAGAATGTGGTAGTGCTGGCTATCACATGAGATACCTCTGGGATATACTTTACTTTTTGTTTTTTCCTCCTACCATGAGGGCCAGCAGCAAAAACTCCAGAAATGAGCCCTACTGCTCTTCACACAGGTCCTGTTGACTGAGAATCAAAGTCATTTCTTTTCACAATGACTGTGCTGTCCTAGTGTGTCTTAGCTGGACTGGAAGACTCAGCAGATTCATAAAGGATCCTACCTGAGTGAATTAGTTCTGCCTTGGGTGAAGGCTGCCTCACTTACCTCCCAACCTACAAATATTTAAAGCCAGTTTTGTCAGTATTTTGCTTGTGGAAAAATTTTTGCCAGTTTGACCATAATATTTATACAGCGGTAAAAATGGTATGCTTTGGGTTTGGGGATGTAGCTCATTTGGTTATGAGTGTGTAGCATACGCAAAGCCCTGGGTTTGATTCCTAGCACCTCATAAACCAAGGGTGATGGCACACACCTGCAATTCCAGCACTTGGGAGGTGGAGGCAGGAGAATAAGAAGTCAATGTCATTCTTGACTACATAATGAGTTTGAAACCATCCTGAGCTATATGAGACTGAGGCAGGCAGATCTCTGTGAGTTCAAGGCCAGCCTGGTCTACATAGTGAGTTCCAGGATAGCTGGGGCTACAGGGAGACCCTGCCTCAAAAAAAAGACAATAAATAAATAAATAAATAAATAAATAAATAAATAAATAAATAGTGACTGGAGAGATGGCTCAGCAGCAGTTAAGAGGACTGGCTGATCTTGCAGGGGAAATGGGTTAGAATCCCAGCACCCACATAGAGGCTAACAACTTTCCATAACACTAGTTCCAGGGACTAAGACTCCCTCTTTTTACCTCCTCTGGTATTGCACAACATGGGTGTACTTACATACATGCAGGCAATATACTCTTAGACATAAAAAGAATAGCTGGGTGTGGTGGCACATGCCTTTAATCCCAGCACTCGGGAGGCAGAGGCAGGCTGATCGTTGTGAGTTCAAGGCCAGCCTGGTCTACACAGTGAGTTCAGGTCAGCTGGGACTGCAGGAAGACCCTGTCCCAAAAAAACAAAAAAAAAAAAAAAAAGAATAAAACATGCCAGGCGTGGGGGTGCACACCTTTAACCCCAGCACTTGGGATGCAGAAGCAGGCAGATCTCTGTGAGTTTGAGGCCAGCCTGGTCTACATAGCGAGTCCAGGCCAGCTGAGGCTACAGGGAGACCCTTCTCAAAAAAGACAAAAGAAAAAAAAAACCCAATAATAATAATAAAACACAGAAATAAAAATTGCATCTTTTGCCAGATGTAGCTGATACAAACTTTTCAGTGGGCCCATAGCATACTTCCATTCCCTCCCTCTTTTGGGAAAAATTGCCTTTCTCTTCTCAACTATTAGACTTTCTCTTTGGCTGCCAATCACAAGCCTTCAAAACCTGATGGATGGGCATATGATATAAACTGACCAAATGTAGCAGCACATCTGTCTGATATAGTGATATACAGAGGGGAGACTACCCAGAACTAGAAAACAAAATCAAAGTCCTTCCCAGTAACTTTATGAGAATCTGGAGGAGTGACTGTTCTTTGCCAGGGAATGAAGTACATCCAAGAGTCTTTGAAAATTCAACAGTCAGGAGAAAGGAGAAACCAAAGAGAGCCCTTACTGTTTGGGTGATGTTCATTTGTACCCTTCTCTGATTTGCTTACTTGAAATAAAAGACTTCTTTTAGTTTTAAGTTTGTTGGAATTGGGTTTCTGTCACTAGCAATTGAAGGAGGCCTGAGCAGGGCTGGCAAGAAGGCATAGCAGGTAAAGACATTTGCAGCTCAAACTTGATGACCTGAGTTCAATTCCCAGAACCCAAGTAAAGGTAGCAGGAGAGAACTGACTCCACAAAGTTGTCTTCTGACATGCTATGTGCACCCTTACACACATATCATGCACAAAAATACAGACCAAAAATAAAGTGTCTTGAACAGAATTTCTGAGACAGCTGAAGGTCCACCAGTAGCCATTGTTGGCCTCTACTACTGTACCCTATCTATTTATGTACATATGTCCATTCCTACAGGCCAGGAATGGGGGTTGGGTAGGGTTGGTACCCCTAAGAAGGAGCTAATTCTATCTGCTATTCATAAGATTTGTGTCTGTCAAAACCATCAACCTACAGGGCCTACAGGGCTTCCTTCCTTCCTCCTCCCCTCCCTTTTTTATTTTTATTTATTTATTTTTTTTTGTCTTTGACAGAGGGTCTGATTGTCCAGGCTAATCTCAAACTCCTGGGCTGAAGCAATCTTCTTGCCTAAGTGGCCTCAGTACCTGGGGCTGTAGGTACATGTTGCCTACAAATCTGACTGCTGAAAACCCTTGAATGTGAAGACTGAGGAATATAACTTAATGGCACAGCACTTGCTGAGATGAGGCCTTGGGTTTCACCCCCAACATCATCATCACACACACAACCATCATCACCACCACCAATAATGACCTTGATTTTGGGCAATCACTCTCTAGATCGGTTAAGATGATCAACCATCCTCCTTTGCTAAGGACTGAGTGGCTTCCTGGGGAACACTGCTAAAACCAAGACAGTCCTTGGTAAACTCCAACAGTTGGCTATCCAAGTTTAGGTTCGTATCTATAAAATGAGATTGGACCACACTGAAATTCTGCCAAAATCTGTATCCAGTCAGGCAATGCCAACTGACCTTGGCACTGATTCCAGTGACTTTGTGTATCCTCATAACGCTTAGCAATCTGAACAGCTGTTGCCAGAGTTGGCACTTATTTGCCGCCCTTGGACTGATTTTTTGAAAAACTGGAATTTTAAGGATCAGGATTTATTGAACTGGAAATTTAAGGATTGACTTTGGGTCAAACTGTCACAAACCCAGGGTCAGACTTTCTCCCATTCTGGCTAAACGACTTCCCAAAAACTTGCAGATTTTATTTTCCTTGGATTTGATTGCACATTTGGGTAAATATATGGACTGGCAACGGGTTACGTATAATTTGGCTTCTTTTTCTTTAGAAATTTAAGCGCCCAACATGTGCTAGACCTATATAAAAGCTCTTATACTAATGCTATGAACTTATGAGTGTGCATTTTGGAAACTAGGAATCCGAGGCTTAGAGGTCTGGTACTTGTCTAAAGCCCCAGTCTGTAAGCAGATGGGCTGCACAAAATTCTAAGGCCCACCTGACTCCATAGCCACCATTCCACCATGATTCGGTTGGACTCTTGCATCCACCTTTCAAGGCAAACATCCTCCCTGTCTGCATGAAGCATGCAAAGCCCCAAGAACTTAGGCTTCCTCAAATTCGAGTGGCCATCTGGGGTTACTCTGCGTAGCGGGCGAGTCGAGAAGTTCCAGATAGCCCAGGAAGGGCGGCCGCACATAGTAGCTAAGGAAGGGGCGGATCCCTACTCGGCAGTTGTTCGCAGAGCCGCCCGCGGACAGGCAAGGGGAAGAAGATTGTGCTGCGGAAGGAGCCGGGTTTCACTGCTTCCCAGCCGCCCCGCAAACTGGGGGGGGGG